TGAGATTTTTAATGTAACAAACGTTTTCGATCTATACGATAGATCATCTTTAGGTTAAAAAGAATATTTCTTAAATGGAACAACAATTTCAAAATTCAAAAAATATAAATAACCAATAACATTTACATTAATAAGAATAACTAATACATTGTAAATGATACAAAAATGTAAAATAAATATCGTATTACTCTTACCAAATATTAATACAGGTATACCTCGCCTTACGTCGGTAATTGGTTCCAGGAAAACGACGTAAGTCGAATTTACTTGTCTCCAAATCTACTTGTTACTAGGCTAAACCATAAATTACCATTCCCGGTGCTGTATTTTATTTATTAATGCATTTTTAATAATATATGGTTAATAAAAATCTATTTTAAGCTTACAAACAAATAAATTTTAGTTTTTAATATAGTACAAAAAAAAGTATTCTAAATTTACGAATGCATGTACTGTAAATACAGAACATACTTGTATATATTTTAATATGATTTTATGTGCTTTAAACGTTTTTCTGGTGATATTACGACTTCAATATTTGTGGCAGACAGACGTAAAGTCGAATAAAATGACTTAAATTTGATTTTTATTTTTCCATATACTTTTTTGACAAACGACGTATAATCGGGAACGACGTAAGTCGAGGTATGCCTGTACTATCTATCCTAACTAGACATAATTTTCTTTAAAATATACTAGTGTACATGCGCCTCTTGTAAGTTTTTAAAGGCATATTTCCAAGCTGAAGGAAGACCCTCTGCGTCCCTTGCATTAATGCATTTTTCTTTTAGCTTGCTTCTGTAAATTTCTATCTTTTCAGCTGTTCTTGCCAAAGTTGGGGAGTGTATCTGTTTTATGATTTTTGCTTCATTCCATCAAACCAAGGATCCTTCTGCTTGCGCCATTTGGGCTAGTACTGTTGTATTAGAACCTTTTCTAATATCATAATTGTGTTCTTTGATTTTTATTTTTAGGTTCCTAGTAGTAACCCCTACATAATTTTTATTTATACCTATTAGCTGGTTCTCGTAGGAAATCTTATACACATCTGCCTTATCTTCTTTTTAACTAACCCTTTATCGTTTTTAAGTATTTTATACAAATTCGGAGCTCTTTTTAAGATCACCCTTGTATTTTTCCATTTGACTCTTACCGAATGTGAAAGATGCTACATATGTGCTTTGATATTTCACCCAGTATATTTGTGTGCTGGCTCTCTACAAAATTCCGTATAGTACCCTCCTCGAGGTCCCATTGGACTCTCGGCACAATGATGCGGGGGTTGCGAAGCCCCGGCGACCTAACTCGCACGTCCTCTCTCTTATTAAGGGACTCAACCAGCCTTCTGGCCCCTTCATTTGTATTTCAATTTATAAGAACTCCATCTTTGATGGGCCGGGTGGACTTGACCTTCACTTTCAGCTTCGTTAAATTAATGGTCGCCTCCAAGTCTTCCTTTCTTCTTTGTTGTACACAAGAACCATTTTGTTACGTGGTGGGATTCTTAGCTTTAGAACTGAGGTGTATGATTTTTCCTTTGTTGGGGTTGCGGAGGGACTTGAAGCACAGGCAGTTAGTCCTAGCTTCCCCTGCATTTTTGCTGTTCCAGTTGTTCGTAGCTAGAAAACAAGGACATAAACATTTCTTGTGCCTTCTCTAGCTTTGAATACTGTCTCGAATCTCCTTCAGATTCTGGCTTGTGTCTACTGCTCCCAAAGCTTCCATGATGCATTCTTCGAAGGCCTTGGCGGTCAGTACCAGGGATCCGCACATACTTACACGATTTATTTTACTTATTGAAATACCAATGATCTTAAGCTACTTGACCTATTACAGGCTGTGACACCCTTAAAAAACTAAGTAGCACTTTAAAAACGGTCGAAAATACTTACCAAGTCACAAATAACACTTCTCTTCAGATTGTAGACCAAACGAGTTGCAAATAACACTTCTCTTCAGATCGTAGACCAAACTGAAAAGGGGAGAGACAAAGGTTTTAGCGAGGTGTTATGGGTAGGAAATATATTGGTATGGATGTAACAGCCCTTTCCGCTATAAGTGGTAATACACTTTGTCTCTAAGGATTCTGTCAAGAATTTTCCCTAGGACTGGCAAGAGACTTATCAGTCTATATGACTTTGGTTCGTTCTTTGGGTGCCTACTTTTGTGAATAAACACAACACACACCTGTTTCCACTGTACTGGGAAGTGACCCAGGAGCAGACACCTCTGATACAGAGCACGGACGTTTATGTTGCACAGACGTGATACGGCCAGGACGTTCATTGTGCAGAACTTGTACCATTTCGGCCGTGATCCCATCAACGCCAGGTGCCTTCCCTTTCCGTAGTTTCCGATGGTGTGGGCTACCTCAGAGTCAGTCACCAGCATGGGCAGCTCTGGGTCACTTCAAAGCCGCCTCTGTTCTTCAGTATCTTTGGACTACTCATCGCATGGAAAATGCAAGCAGAGCAGCACCTGAATCGATTCCTCCTGTGTGGAGGTTAGGGTACCATCTGGCCTTTTGATGGACCCCAAGACTGTACTACGCTTAACTTTGCCCACCACTAGTTGTAGGGGAGACAGAACGGGTTATTATCACTAATTTCCTGACAGAAACTGAGCCATGAGGTCTTTTTAGCATTGTTCAGTTTGTACTTGTAGTCAGCATTGGCTCTCTGTAACTCCAGTCTCTTGGTTGCCCGAAGGTCAACCAAGAGACTGGAGTTACAGAGAAGCCCGAAGGTCATCATCCCTGCATTGTTGAAAGCATCACCAGAGTGCCCTCACACGCTTTCTCAGGACACTCAGTTCCTGGGTCCACCAAGGAACTGACCAGTGGTTGTTGGGTTGCCGTTGCGCAAGTGTGCAGTATCCTGCTCCTCTGAACGCTTCAGTAAGGTTGGCCACAACTTTCCCCAGATCCCTGACACTCTAACCTTAGAGACTTGGGTGACGATATCAGCTGTCTTTTCTACAAGACATTTGCTAAAACAATTGCGGTTTCCCACAGTTAGCTTGTAACAACTACTCAGCCAGGCAAACGAGCTGCTCATCACCTCGAAGGCAATGAAGCAATGGTCACTACAGCTTTCCACATCAATCGTTACCCATTGCAAGATCAGTCTCAGCATAGTTCCACTAACGATGGTAAGGTCAATCCAGCTCTCACCCAAGGAGGAGGAAAAGGTAGCAATCCCGAACGGATTGTTCTGGATGTGCACCCCCCAACCCTCCGCTGTATCCTTCATCATGATCCCGTCAGGATCATCCACAGGGGATTCCCACAGTGAGTGCTTGGCGTTGAAGTCACTGGCCAAAACAACTTGACTGCAGAGCGAGACGACCGCTTTGAGTTCATTCAGAAGGCCTCCCAGTTTAAGTGACGGTGGGCGATAGCTGGAGACCATCACCCAGGTGCAGGTGGGTGACCATATCTGTACGGAAACCACGAGTTGTGAGACGTGGATAGCATATGCATCAACGTTTTTCTGTGTGAGAATAACTGCAGCTCGACAATCGTCATCTTCATCGAGTACTCATCGACAATCGATGAGTATTTTAATTTTGATTTATAAGAATGGTATGAAGGATGTTCCTGGTAATTATAGAGGTATCTGGTTATCATCTTGTGCTTCAAAATTGTTTTGTATTATTCTATATAGAAGGTTGACTCGATGGTTAGAAATTAAAAATATATTGCATGAAAATCAGGCAGGTTTCAGGGCTAGCTATTCCACATTAGATAATATTTTTGTTTTGTATACGGTTATCCAGAAAACTTTTTTACGGAAACATAGGAAAGTGTGTGCATTTTTTGTCGATTTATCTTCTGCATTTGATAGTCTGTAGGAATTTGTTGTGGTTAAAGATGATGCGTTACGGTTTTAGTTATAAATCTCTGTCTTTACTCGTTGCTTTGTATGAAAACTCCTTGCTTATGGTAAGAGTTGGAGGTAACTGTTTGCCATTAATGTTCTCTAAGACTGGTGTTAAGCAGGGCTGTATTTTGAGTCTAATTTTGTTTAGTATTTTTTTGAATGATCTCTTTGGCATTATTAATTCTTCCGGCGATGGTATAGAAATAGATGGTTTCCAGATTAAAATATTGGCTTATGTTGATGATATTGTAGTTTTATCTGATTATGTGGTTGGATTGCAGAGATTGATTGATAAATTGGCAATTTATTTAGATTGAAATGATTTGAAATTGAATTTGAATAAGTCTAAGATTGTTGTTTTTCGAAGAGGAGGTAAGAGTGCAAGGGTGGATAAATGGTGGTTTAAGGGTTCTCCAATTCAAGTTGTGTCTAACTATAAATATTTGGGTGTTAAATTTTCATTTAATGGTTTATTCCATACGCATTACATTAATAAGAGAACTCATATAAGGGTTTTGATGAATAAAATTATTCAATTAGGGAGATCTGGATTCTTAGCTTTAGAACTGAGGTGTATGATCTTTCCTTTGTTGGGGTGGCGGAGGGACTTGAAGCACAGGCAGTTAGTCCTAGCTTCCCCTGCATTTTTGCTGTTCCAGTTGTTCGTAGCTAGAAAACAAGGACATAAACATTTCTTGTGCCTTCTCTAGCTTTGAATACTGTCTCGAATCTCCTTCAGATTCTGGCTTGTGTCTACTGCTCCCAAAGCTTCCATGATGCATTCTTCGAAGGCCTTGGCGGTCAGTACCAGGGATCCGCACATACTTACACGATTTATTTTACTTATTGAAATACCAATGATCTTAAGCTACTTGACCTATTACAGGCTGTGACACCCTTAAAAAACTAAGTAGCACTTTAAAAACGGTCGAAAATACTTACCAAGTCACAAATAACACTTCTCTTCAGATTGTAGACCAAACGAGTTGCAAATAACANTAATGATGTGGATTTAATGGACTGGTCTCTTCTCCTTGTTAACATTTTTGATAATTTTTTTATACAATATAAATCAAAAAATAAATAATAGTGTATATAATTGCTGGTATAAGGATTTAAATGTTACTTTCTTTGATAATTTTTTATATAATCAAGATGTTTCACTTAATATTTTGTCTTCATTTATACAGGTTAGGTGTAATTCTCTGAACTTTTTGAATAATTATTCGAGAGAAGTGTGTAACTTTTGTGTTGAGAATGAAATTGTGGATGCTTGGCATGTTTTGGCTAAATGTGGGCGTCTTAAGGTGTTACGTGATGAAATTTTTGGTTGCAAAGTTCTTACCAGGTCTTTATTTCTTAAAACTTTATCGGAACCATGTTATCAATTTAAAGTGTTTTGTTTTCTTCTTTTAGGGGGCGTGATTCCTCAATTATAAAATTGGCTTTGCTGCTGGTTTTAAAGCATCTGTCAGTGCTGTGTTTTCGTTACTAATTTATTTCTTCTTTATAGGTAAGAAATTTGCTTTCTCATTTGGTTGATTGTTTTACTTTTATCTTGTTTATTGGTTTTGTATTATTTTTTGACAGATGCTCCCAAACTTTAACTAATTATTATATTTGATTTTTAAATCTAAATATTTAAATTGTTATTTATTTAAATTAATATTGTAATATATAATTTTTTATTGTAATCTTATGCCTATTGTATTTAAGTGTTTTGTTCTTTTGGGAGATGATTTTGCTCCCCACATCAAGGAGTGTATCCAGTATGCATAATAAATAAATAAATAAATAAATAATAATACATCTGGCAACAACAGGTGACTTTTTTTTATTGAAATTTCACTTATAATTCTCAATACTAAATATATTATGGTCTTTTTTCAGGAGGACATGGTGTTACTTCAACAACATGGATGAGTGGCTTCGTGAACATCCTGATGTGGCATCACCTTTCGCGCTTAGCAGTGAAAGCTGTTCATTTGCATCTACATCTTCACTGCCTGAAGTTTCTGCATCATCATCACCAGGCCAACGTCCAAAAAGAAAACTACTAACAGATGTTGAGCATAAGACTGCAAAACGGCAGTGGCATGAGGAACTTCTGCAAAGGATGGATGAATTTAATAATTTATTTAAACAGTTCATTGAAAAAATAGGAAATATTACAAAATAAGAACATATTAATAAAAGTAGTTTGATTTCCATAAACTGTATTCAAAATGTTTGTAATTAACCATAAATAAATACAGTAGTTCATAACTCTACTTTATCCAACACCAGAATATAATCAGTTATTTACTTCTTTCATCTTAAGGTACATAATTAATAAATAGCATTAGTGGAATATTTTGCTTACTACTAAATGTCTTTGTTTATAAGTTTTGAGCAATTCTGTCACGCTTTGTATTTTCACCTTGCTTTTGCTCAATAACACATGATCTCTGATATACTCCAAGGTTATGACTGCCTGGATCCTGGAAAAAGTTAAAAATGTTACACTTGTTATACATGTACTGTATAGTATATAATACCAAAACTTAGGATAAAAAAATTAATGTACTTTTTCCAGTTCAGTATTTTCTTGTAGGATGTACCCTCTTGTAATACAGATATTACGTAAGACACAACAAGCCATTACAACAGATGGTATCGACTCCATTTTTTGACATATCTAAATAATGTAGTCTTCTCCATCTTCCTTTCAGATGAGCAAATGACCGTTCAATAACACTTCTGGCTGATGATAATTTGCTATTGTACTGGACTTGGACAGCTGTCAAATGCCCATTGTCAGGATATGGTTTCATTAATTGCTTATTTATGGGATAAGCACCATCTCTGACAATATGGGAGTTATACGGAAACATTATTTCAGCCTTCCTGGCTATTTTTCCAGCTAATGTAGAGCGGGCATAAACCTCAGCATCATGTAACATTCACCAGCATGACAGGAGATGAAAATCAATACACTCTCACCAAAAACTGGAACTGTAATATTCACAGATCACACCTAAATTCAAAATTTCCAGCAAATAAACATCAAAAAATACATGTCAAACGTTTTCGGCCACTGAATTTATCGGCATTCATCAGGAAATGCAAACTGGAAAAACTGTTCTTTAAATAGAACTTAGCTGCCTTTTAAATTTTAAAAGAACGAAAAATGGCTGATGTATCGTGTATGACGTATATTATGAGTCAAGATATCGTTTTCCCCTTGGTGTGGGTTCCGGTCCATGGTGAGGGGACCTCCCAGAGATGGTTTAGTAACTTCTCTTTACCATCCCTGGGATCTGAACGCCCACCCACGTGTTTGACGTGCGTGGTATCCTGTATGCCGGAAATGGGGATCCTGGTAGTTGAGCGGCAATATAACGTCCTCAACACACTGCTTTGGCCCCTGCTTCGGATAAACGGGAGGCTCAAATCAGGCTCTGTTTGAGTCAATCGGCTGGTCGTTGAGTCATTCTTGACCTCACTTGGAGTCAACAGATCGATGCAGACCGGGCAGACACGTCAGACAAGATGTGCTCTTCTTGACTGCATTGTGAGGGTATAGCTCTTGGGAAACCCTGGTGTGACGGCCTATGGGAATCTCCCATGTGACGGCATCCCCTTGTTGGGCCCTATGGTGGGTGGGGTCACTGGGAGCTGAATTAATATTACATAATTATGGATCATCAAAAAACAAAAACTACAGACAATTCTACAAGGAAACGAATCATTTCCAGTCAGCCAACCTACTTCATAGTCCATGCTACTGGACAAACACCTCTATCAAAATGTTCTCCTTATCTGATCCAGAAGCTGTTTGAATCTACAGTTGGAAATTTGAAAAAAATACAAAAATTGAGGTCAGGAGATCTGCTTCTAGAAACAGCCTCACCTCAACAGTCTGCAAAACTTTTCTCAATTAAGACACTCGGAGATATAGAACTGTCACCCCACATGGAAGTCTAAACTCATCACGCGGTGTGATATCAGAGATCGATTTGATGTCTGAAGATGAATCAGATATTCAGATCGGCCTTTCTGATCAAGGTGTAACTGTTGTTCGATGCATCTCCATTCGTCGAGATGGCAAGTTAATTGCTACCAAACACCTAATTTTAACGTTTAACAAATTGACATTGCCATCTTTCATTACTGCAGGATATCTGCGCTGTCCAGTCTGCCCCTACGTTCCAAATCCGCTGCGTTGCTTCAAATGCCAGCAGTTTGGACATTCACAGACAGCCTGCCGAGGCAAAAGCATATGCGCACAGTGTGGGACAGAAGACCACGTTAGTACTGAATGTAAAAGTATCCCATGCTGTGTGAACTGTAGAGATGCCCATTCTTTCTACCCTTGGAAATGCCCTGCATGGCAGAGAGAAAAAGAGGTTCAACGGTTAAAAACCATAAATAATATATCATACACAGAGGCCCGTCGTATGGTCACCCCAAGTCCACCAACGAAACAAAAAACCTTTGCTGCTGTGTTGAAATTTACAAAGACATCTGGGGTTCAAACAGATATTTCTGTATCCCCAAGTGAATCTCTTACTCGCCATGCAAAATGCTTATTGATTTCATCTGCACAATCAGAAGAAAAGGAGAACACAAAGACTAAAACCTCTGTAACTAAAATGGGAGTAACAACCAGAAATGTGGGTTCTAAAAAAGCTAGTAAGAACCCACTTAACAAACAAAGAGTGAAAGCAGCCCTCTCTAAAGTCTGAAAAAAATCAGAAGCTCAATCTATGAGTGAGTTTTCTGACATATCTGATGAAGAGCCTTATATGGAAATTTCAAAACCAAAGTCACCTCCAAAAGAGAAACCGCCTGTTAAATTAAAGAGGGATACCCTCGCAAAGAATGCTGCCTCTAACACATAATGGATTATAAAATAATCCAATGGAACTGTCGTGGTTTTTGCAACAACTTCTCTGACATTAAACACTTGACATCATCTACCTCATCTCTCTGTGTGGCACTCCAGGAAACCCATCTAAAACCTGGAGAAAATATTTCTTTAAAAGGATTCAATCTCTATCGCCACAACCGTGCCAATGGGGGAGTGGCTATCTTGGTTTCAAACCACATTCCATCCTTACCGATACAAATAACCACTGATTTGCAAGCTGTGGCAGTCAAAATTTCAATTGGCGTAACTGTCACAGTCTGTTCTATATACTTGCCACCAGACGTCAGAGCCAATGAGGATGATTTGGACGCATTAGTCGAACAGCTGCCAACTCCGTTCCTGTTACTCGGTGATTTCAATGGTCACAATCCGATGTGGGGCAGTTCTGACATTAATCGTCGAGGCAGGACCATTGAAAGATTCATAGGCAATCAGCAAATCTATTTATTTAATACGGGTGAAGTGACGTACTTTCATGCCCCAACAAGAACATTCACTGCCATTTATCTATCATTAGCAAGTCCAAACCTGTTTTCTGCATTTTCATGGGAGGTTGGATCTAATCCACTCTCTAGTGACCACTTCCCAATATTTCTAAAATATCGAGGCAGAGAAAGCTGTGAAACAGCTTGTCCACCACGCTGGAAACTGGAAACAGCAGATTGGCCTGCATTTTCCTCTTTGGCTAACATCATTGAGGAAATGGTCAACACTGCTGATATCAATGATGCAGTTAAAGTTGTCACTTCTAGTATTATTCAGGCAGCTGAAAAAACAATGGGGAAGACGTCAACAAGATACCCAAAGCATCCAAAACCATGGTGGAACCAGAATTGCGAGGCAGCATTTAAAGCACAAAAGAAAGCATGGAGGATTTTCAGAAGATACCCCACTGCTAAAAATTTTATTGCTTTTAAAAAAGCAAAGGCAAATGCCAGAGGAATAAGAAGGCAAAGCCAAAGGGATTCTTGGAGGAAGTGTGTTTCTAGCATAACGTCTTCCACTAGCTCAAAAGCAGTCTGGGATAAAATCCATTAAATTAATGGGAAATATGCTTGTCACTCTCTGTCCTTGCTGGAAAATAATGGCACAATAATCAGTTATATACAGTGTATTGCTGATACATTGGGTGAAACTTTTTCGTTGTCATTCAGCAACATAATGTATTCAAGGGATTTTCAAGCTTACAAAGTGCAAAAGGAAAAGCAACATTTAAACTTTTACTCCTTATCTAATGAGGAATATAATGTGCCATTCACTAGAATCGAATTACAAACAGTGATTTCTTGCGCGGGGAATACTGCTGTAGGCCCGGATAAAATCCACTACAGCATGATTAAAAATCTGTCAAACAACTTTCTTTGTAATCTCCTGTGTCTGTTTAACAGAATATGGACAGAAAATACTTTCCCTGACTCTTGGAGACTATCAATTATTATCCCTATTCCAAAACCCAGTAAAGACCGCAAGAATCTTTCTAATTACAGACCAATCTCTCTGACAAGTTGTTTGTGTAAACTCTTTGAGAGGATGGTAAACAGACGTTTGATGTTTCTCCTAGAGGAAAAGAACTACTTTTCACCACATCAGAGTGGATTTCGTAGGAACAGAAGTATTAAGGATAATCTAGTAAAACTTGAAACATTTATACGCGAAGTGTTTGTTAGACGACAACACTTAGTGTCTGTATTCTTTGATATAGAGAAGGTCTATGATCGCTGCTGGCGTTACGGAATACTTCGTGATCTATATGAATTCGGATTGCAGGGTAACTTGTTAGTCTTTATAAAAAACTTCCTGCAGAATCGAAGATTCCAAGTTAGGATGGGTAACACTCTATCTAGGTCTTTTGTCCAAGGTATTTATCAAGGATGTATTTTGAGTGTGACTCTGTTAATAATTAAAATTAACAGCATAGCTAAGTGTCTTTTTCCCAGTGTGAAACACTCTTTGTATGTGGATGATTTTCAGATCTCCTGCCAGTCTAGCAACATGAGTTTCATTGAGAGACAACTGCAAACCTCCCTAAATCGCATAGAAAATCGGTTTAAGACCAATAGTTTCAGTCTCAACGTAGAGAAGACCTCGTGCATTCACTTTTGCTGAAGGCGTGGTTAGCACCTGGACCCCGAAATGTATTTAAATGGGGTTAAAATACCAATTGTGAATGAGGCTAAGTTTTTGGGTGTTTGTTTTGATCAAAAACTGACATTCTTGCCACACTTGCGCAACTTGAAGAGTAGACGTTTAAAATCTCAAAACCTTTTAAAGGTATTATGCTGCTCATCCTGGGGAACAGACAAAGTTTCTATGCTCAGAATTTATAGGACCCTTGTCCGCTCTAAGCTGGACTATGGTTGTATTGTTTATGGGTCTGCGCGAGAATCTACTCTTTGGATATTGGATTTAATTCACCATCAAGCATTACGTCTGTGCACTGGTGCATTTCGAACTTCTGTCCAAAGTTTGTATGTAGATGCTTATGAGCCTCCTCTGTCTCTCAGGAGAGAACAGTTGTCTCTTTTTTATTATTTAAAACAGAAATCTCATACTAAACCTTCAGTTGATTGTACAGTATCAGATACTCAGCTGAAAAGATTATTTGAAGCTCACCTAAGTAGTGTTTCTACGTTTGCTATAAGAATGGAGAATGTAAGCAGCACGATCGACCTGAACATGAGCAACGTTTCACTGGCTGAGATTGATAATATGCCACCCTGGTCTACTCCTGCGATAGATGTTGACTTTGGCTTAAGGCAGTTTCCTAAGGAATCCACGCCAGACTATATCTATAGACAGCACTTTGCAGAAATCCAACACAATGACAGGAATTTAATTCCCATTTACACTGATGGTTCTAAATCGGATGATTATGTTGGCTCAGCCTTTGTCTGCTAGGATGAAATCGTGGCAGAGCAAATTGAATCGAATTCATCTATCTTTACTGCAGAGCTGCATGCTATCCACTCAGCCTTAAAGTATGTAATCAGAAAAGGTCATCGTCGCTGCGTGATTTACACTGACTCAGTTAGTGCACTTCAGGCTTTGATTTCTAGTTCTCACTCTATAGTGATTAAAATTCGTAAATTGTTTTGCCATCTTCTTGCAAGGAATTTTTCTATAAAATTTTGTTGGGTTTCAGGCATGTTGGTATAAGAGGAAATGAAAAAGCAGATGCAGCAGCAAAATCAGCTAGTCCTTCACAGCATACAATGCGTATTGAAGGAGGTGATTTTAAGCTAGTCATTAAAAAACGACTAGCAAAGAGATGGCAAAATGTGTGGAACGCCCAAGTCCACAATAAACTGCATGAGATCAAACATACGATAGAAAATTGGACACACAAGAAATTTTATAACAGGAGATCTGAAGTTATTATTACTCATTTGAGAATCGGACATACTCGGTTGACTTATCAATACCTTTTGAAGGGTGATGAGCAGCCAGTATGCCAGTATTGCAACTGTCCTCTTACTGTAAAACACATACTGCTCGATTGCTCTGTTTTTGAGACCAGGCGTAGACAGCATTTTGGAAATGCAAGTTTTAAACAGATTCTGGGTATGAGGCCCAATATTTATGATATATTAAACTTTTTAAAAGTCATTAATTTGTGTAAAGAAATTTAATTATTTATTTATTTATAGTAATACAAACACAAATTATTATTGTATTTATTTTCAGACACTTGGTAATTTTTATTATCAAATTTTTTAATTAGTTGATTTTTATTTAGTATTCAACTATTTATTTATCTTTTAGCCTTTTGTTCTTTCTTGTTTGTTATTAATATGTATATATTTGTTTTCTGTTGCTGTTGCTGTTGTTTATTTATTTATATTCGTCATATGTTTCTTATTTGTGATGTTTATGATTATTTACCATTTGTTATGGCGCAGCTTAGCCTATACGGCTCTTGTGCCAAAAAACCATTACCAATAAACCAGTAAAATTTAATAAATCTAAAAATAACAATATTTTACAGAAAGGGAATTAGATAAACAATCAAATCAAACGATTAAGACGACGAATAAATTACTTTAACGCGTCAAGAGAGAAATGTATTTTTAACCTATACATTTACGAGAGAGAGAGAGCTCACAGTTCCTTAAATAACATACAACCTGTTAAAGGAGCTTTGTCGTCTTTCTATCAGCGAAGGTCCTTCATTGATAACTTAGGATTAACTTGATAGGGGACGACTATGGCGTTGGTCTGCTAGCATATGTGTGGAGTTTTTTTCACTCTCCGATCTACGGACGAACTCTTAAGGGCGTTGGCCTTAGAGAGCAAATGAGTGGAGTTTTGTCACCTTCAGAACTGTCGATGAACTCCCTGAATTCGTCTGAGCTTTGATTATATCTTTGCATTTACGACCAATTATTATTCTAGGATTCTTCCACATGAACGGATGGGAAGGTGGTTAAATGAGAGGGTATACAGTTCCCATCGTAGTGACATTTTTAACAGATAAGGGAAAAACAGAGGATGCTCATACTTTTGTGAAAGGAAGTGACTCTCTTATCTGCTTTTACATGCTAGAAAATGTTATTTTCCCATCAAAATGAAAGAATATTTTTTTGTAAAGATTATTATTTTAGACCCGGGGACTATTCGGATCTCACATTAGCGTCTGCCGTTTTTATTTTAAAATCGTAAAATCGCGGCCCTGATTATCAGAAATTATGATTCTATCTGTTATTTTGATACTTTTCTTTCTTTATAATGTTTTATTTACTTTATTTTCCTGTAATTAGAGACGATACAGCTTTAAAATAAACACATCAGCTTTCTCTTGCCAATAGATTATCTCAACTTACACCAATTGTTGTCGGTTCCTTTGTAATTGGGAGAGTCCCTTAATGAACCGCCAAGTGTTTTATTACCGTTTAAACAACTTTTCCCCACTTGTTATTCTTAGTAACTAGACATGTCTGTCAAGGTTGGTTAAAGTTTATTACTTTCACAACAGGGTGTCAAGTGAGCTGCCACCCATGCTCACCATTAACGACAACAACGCGCGAAGTATCACGTTACTCAGTAAACAACCCCTCGATGTGGGTTCCTGTCCGTGGTGAGGGGACCTCCCAGAGATGGTCTAGAAATTCCTCTTTACCATCCCTGGGATCTGAACGCCCACCCATGTGTTTGCCGTGCGTGGTGTCCCGTATGCCGGAAAGGGGGATCCTGGTAGTTGAGGGGCAACATAACGTCCCCAACACACTGCTTTGGCCCCTGCTTCGGATAAACGGGAGGCTCAAATCAGGCTCCGTTTGAGTCAATCGGCTGGTCGTTGAGTCATTCTTGACCTCGGCTTGGAGTCAACCGATCGATGCAGACCGGGCGGACATGTCATACAAGATGTGCTCTTCTTGACTGCATTGTGAGGGTATAGCTCTTGGGAAACCCTGGTGCGACAGTCTATGGGAATCTCCCATGTGACGGCATCCCCTTGTTGGGCCCCGTGGTGGGTGGGGTCACTAGGAGCTGAATACTTATTTTTAAATATGGATTCATTAAAACTAAAAAAATCATGTACCAATGCACCACCACCAAAGGAGGACAGTTCCTCCAACCAACCAGCCTATCTCATCGTGCATGCTATGGGAGAAACAACTCTTTCTAAACGTTCCCCCTTTTTGATTCAGAAACTTTTTGAATCTACCATTGGGCATCTTAAAAAAATTCAAAAGTTGAGATCAGGAGACCTGCTCGTGGAGGCAGCCTCCCCTCAACAGTCTGAAAAGCTTATGAAGACAAAATCTCTAGGAGACATACAAGTCACCATCACACCACACACAAGTTTGAACTCATCACGTGGTGTGATATCTGAAATCGATTTGATGTCTGAGGACGAATCCGATATTCAGATCGGCCTCTCAGACCAAGGTGTCACTGCTGTCCGACGAATTTCAATCCGTCGAGATGGCAAGTTGATACCAACTAAACACCTTATCCTCACCTTTGGAAAACCGTCATTGCCATCTTTTGTTACAGCAGGCTATTTGCGCTGTTCAGTTCGCCCATATATTCCAAACCCGCTGCGTTGCTTTAAATGCCAGCGGTTTGGACACTCACAAACATCCTGCCGAGGTAAAAGCTTATGTGCACAGTGTGGAGTGAAGGCCACCAGAGTACTGAGTGTACCAGTACTCCATGCTGTGTTAACTGCAACGATGTCCATCCTGCCTACTCTCGGAAATGCTCTGCATGGCAGAGAGAGAAAGAGATTCAGCGGGTGAAAACTGTAAATAACGTATCCTATCCAGAGGCTCGACGCATGGTCACCTTAAGTGCTCCTTTGAAACAGAAGAGTTTTGCGGCTGCATTGAAGTCTACAAAGACAATTGGGGTTCAAACAGATATTTCTGTTTCCCCAAAGGAATCTCTTACTCGCCAAGCGAAATGTTTAATACTCCCATTACAAGAAACACCAGCAAAGGAGAGTACAAAAGCAAAAACACCCCTATCTAAACCAGGGGTAATAACGAGAAACTTAGGCTCCAAAAAAGCAAGCAAGAACCCGCTAAACAAACAGAGAGTTAAAGCTGCTCTCTCTAAATCTAAAAAATTAGAGGCACAATCTATGAGTGAGCTCTCTGACTTTTCTGAAGAGGAGAGTCACCAGGAGGTTACAAAACCAATGTCACCTCCAAAAGAGAAACCCTCTATTAAATTAGATGGATACCCTCGCAAAGAATGCTGCCTCAAACACATAATGGATTATAAAATAATTCAATGGAACTGTCGTGGTTTCCACAAAAACTTCTCTGACATTAAACACTTGACATCATCTACCTCATCTCTCTGTGTGGCACTCCAGGAGACTCATTTGAAACCTGGAGAAAATATTTCTTTAAAAGGATTTAATCTCTATCGCAAGGATGATGATAGCCACAATTGCGCCAGTGGAGGTGTGGCTATTGTAGTTTCAAATCACATCCCATCCTTGCCGGCACAAATAACATCTGATTTGCAAGCTGTGGCAGTCAGAATTTTTATTGGAGTAACTGTCACAGTTTGCTCTATATACTTGCCACCAGATGTCAGAGTCAATGAGGATGAATTGGATGCTTTGGTTGAACAGCTGCCTACTCCATTCCTTTTACTGGGTGATTTTAATGGCCATAATTCAATGTGGGGCAGTCCAGACATCAACCGGTGAGGCAGAGCCATTGAAAGATTTATAGGCAACCAGCAACTGTATTTATTTAATACGGGAGAAGTGACATACTTCCATGCCCCAACAAGAACATTCACTGCCATTGATCTATCACTAGCAACCCCAAACCTATTTTCAGCGTTTACATGGGAGGTTGGATCTAATCCACTTTCCAGTGATCACTTCCCAATGTTTTTAAAATATCGAGGCAGAGAAAGCTGTGAAACAGCCCGTCCACCACGCTGGAAGTTAGAAACAGCCGATTGGTCTGTTTTTTTTTCTATGGCCAACATCACGGAGGATATGGTGAATATTGCTGATATCAATGACGCAGTTGAAGTTGTCACTTCCAGTATTATTCAGGCAGCTGAAAAAACAATGGGAAAGACATCAACTAGATATCCAAAACATCCTAAATTATGGTGGAATCAGAACTGTGACGCAGCGTTTAAAGCACAAAAGAAAGCATGGGGTATTTTTCAGAAGATACTTCACTGCGAGAAATTTGGTTGCTTTTAAAAAAGCAAAGGCAAATGCCAGAAGAATTAGAAGGCAAAGCCAAAGGGATTCTTGGAGGAAGTATGTCTCTAGTATGACATCTTCCACTAGCTTAAAAGCAGTCTGGGATAAAATCCATAAAATTAATGGAAAATATGCTTCCCACTCTCTGTCCATGCTGGAAAATAATGGCACAATAATCAGCGATATACAAAGTATTGCTGATACATTGGGTGAAACGTTTTCTACTTTATCTAGCAATATCATGTATTCAAGAAATTTTCAGGCTTATAAAGCCCAAAGTGAAAAACAATATTTAAACTTTCATTCCTTATCTAATGAGGAATATAATGTGCCATTTACCATCATAGAACTACATACAGCGATCTCTCGCTCGGGGAATAGTGCTGTAGGCCCGGATAAAATCCACTACAGCATGATTAAAAATCTGTCAAACAATTATTTTTCTAATCTGCTGTGTCTGTTTAACAGAATATGGACAGAACATACTTTTCCTGACTCTTGGAGGCTATCTATCATTATTCTCATTTCCAAGCCTGGTAAAGACCACAAGAATCCCTCTAATTACAGACCAATCTCTCTGACAAGTTGCCTGTGTAAACTCTTTGAGAGGATGGTAAACAGACGTCTGATGTATCTCTTAGAGAAAAATGAATACTTTTCACCACATCAGAGTGGTTTTCGTAGGAACAGAAGTACCACTGATAACTTAGTAAACCTTGAAACATCTATACGCAAAGCGTTTGTTCGACGACAGCACTTAGTGTCTGTGTTTTTCGATATAGAGAAGGCCTATGATCGCTGTTGGCGATATGGGATACTCCGTGATCTACACCAATTTGGATTGCAGGGTAATCTGCCAATTTTTATAAAAAACTTCCTACAGAATCGAAGATTTTAAGTTAGGATGGGCAACGCTATATCTAGGCTCTTTACACAAGAAGAAGGTGTTCCTCAAGGTTCTATTTTGAGTGTGACTCTGTTAATAATTAAAATTAACAGCATAGCTAACTATCTCCCTCCCAGTGTGAAACACTCTTTGTATGTAGATGACTTTCAGATCTCCTGTCAGTCTAGTAATATGGGTTTCATTGAGAGACAACTTCAAACTTTTCTAAATCGCATATTTGATTGGTCCAAGACCAATGGGTTTACGTTTAATGCAGCGAAGACATTGTGCGTCCACTTCTGCCGAAGGCGTGGTTTGCATTCGGATCCTGAAATTCACCTAAATGGCGATAAAATTCCAATGGTGAATGAGGCTAAGTTTCTGGGTGTTTATTTTGACTCAAAACTGACATTTTTGCCACACTTGCGCAACCTGAAGAGTAGATGTTTAAAATCTCTAAACCTTTTGAAGATACTATGCTGCTTATCCTGGGGAGCAGACAAAGTTTAAATGCTCAGGATTTATCGGGCTATTGTTCGCTCTAAGCTGGACTACGGTTGCATTGTTTATGGCTCTGCGCGAGAATCTACTCTTCGGATGCTGGATCCAATCCACCACCAAGCACTACGTTTGTGCACTGGTGCTTTTCGAACTTCTCCTGTACAAAGTTTGTATGTGGATGCTTATGAGTTTCCACTATCTCTTAGGAGAGAACAGTTGTCTCTATTCTACTATATAAAACAGAAATCTCACTCTAAACCTTCAGTTGATTGTACAGTATTAGATACTCAGCTGAGAAGGTTATTTGAAGCTCGCTCAAGCAGTGTTCCTTTATTCGCCATAAGAATAGAGAATGTGAGCAGCACGATTGACCTGAACACAGGCAACATTTTACAGCTAGAGGTCTGTAATATATCTTTTTGGTCAACTCCTGTGATAAATGTTGACCTTAGCTTAAAGCAATTTCCAAAGGAATCCACCCCAGACTATGTCTACAAACAGCACTTTGCAGAAATTCAACACCATGACAGGAATTTAATTTCTATTTATACAGATGGATCTAAATCTGATGATTACGTTGGCTCAGCTTTCGTCTGCCAGGATGAAATTGTGGCAGAACAAATTGCGTTGAATTCTTCCATCTTTTCTGCAGAGTTGCATGCTATTTATTTAGCTTTAAAGTATATAAATAGGAAAGGTCATCGTTCCTGTGTTATTTACACTGACTCAGTTAGTGCACTTCAGGCTTTGATTTCATGTGAACCTAGTTCTCACTCTATAGTGATTAAAATTCGTAAGCTCTTTTGCCATCTTACTGCGAGTAATTTCTTTGTAAAATTTTGTTGGGTCCCAGGCCATGTAGGTATAAAAGGGAATGAAGAAGCTGACGCAGCTGCAAAGTCAGCTACTCCTTTACAGCATATAATGCGTATTGAAGGAGTCGATTTGAAGCTAGTAGTTAAAAAACGACTAGCAGAGAGATGGCAAAACGTGTGGAATGCACAAGTCCACAATAAACTACATGAGATCAAGCCAAATATAGAAAATTGGACACATAATAAACAGTATGACAGGAGATCTGAAGTAATTCTTACTCGTTTGAGAATTGGGCATACTCGGTTGACTCATCAATACCTTTTGAAGGGTGAAGACCAGCCAGTATGCGAGTATTGCAACTGCTTTCTAAGTGTAAAACACATGCTTTGCAACTGCACAGCTTTGGATCAAAGTCATAGACAGCATTTTGGAAATGCAAGTTTGAGAGAGATTTTGCGCCAGAGGCCAAATCTTCACAAATTATATAACTTTTTGAAAGTGAATAATATTTATAAACATATTTAATTATTTATCTAGGTTATGTTTATATATACCTCGTGGATTATTTATTTATTTATTCATTTACGTATATATCTTGTTATTATTTACATGTATATTGTTATATATTGTTTTGTTATTGACTTTGTTATTTATTAGTTTATTTATTTATTTTATATTAAACATTTTACATTATATATATATATATATTTATTTATTTATTTATACTATCTGCCATGGCGCAGCTTGGCCTGTATGGCCCTTGCGTTAATAAACTCTAACAAACTAACCAACCTCCTCAGTAAACAAAAACTTCCTTCCTTTTTGGAGGTGGGTCAGTGTAAGGTCGCTGACTTAAGGGGGCAATATGTTAATTGTGCGTCAGTAAAACATAGGGTCAAACCGTATGTGGGCGGTGGCAGTAGGACACAGAGATGACAAGTATCTTACACGAAAACCGTTTATTTTGACATTAGATTAACTTACAGAATGGGAAGGACAGGAATTAATATGCTGGCCGGCTGATATTTTACTTTAGATATGCCCCAGGGCTTCAATGAGGTAGAGTCTGGTGACCTGCGGGCAATGTCCAGTAAATCCTGCGTGCAATGTTTGGTCAATCTGGCGTACGATGTCTTGTCTCCTATTCTCCAGGGATGCGACAGAGCTTGGATGTGGTGGCGTCCTGGATATTTGAGTCTGGTGTGCGGCTGAGACTCTGCTGCCAATTTGCCTTTTGTCCTTGAGACTTAGGGATTTTATAAGATTTCCCCCAAATCTCATTCTCTTGATTGGTCCCATTCACTGTCTCCCTTATCCCAATTGGTCATTCTTTTTGTTTCTAGGCGAAACCCGAGATTGATCTGGGTCGGGAAAAGGTCGGAGATGTGATGACAGTCTTTTGACGTTCGCGCTTGTATTTTACTCCGTTATGGCCCTTTTCTCTGTCATCTTTTAACCTAAACGGTCCACCAGATGTTCTTGTGGCCATTTATCCCCCTACTGCATTCTTATTTAACAGATGTCTCTTATGTTTTTAGACCCCCCTTTCTCGATTGCTTCCACCCGACACTTGTTCACGAGCATCTTGTCAAAGCTCTTTCTCTCTGTCGACATTCTCTCTTGCTGTTTATCATCGCGCCGCGTGTGTTTTACAATTTGAAAAGTTTTCGTCCCATCTGGGTTTTGTCATTAACACCCCTCTTGACCCGATTCTATCCTCGAAACTTTTCTACGTAAAAGTTTCGTAATTAGTCGTAAATTTGACGCTTTTTTATGACCCTCGCAGGGCTCCCCGCCATTTAAAAATGTCATTCTGAGGTTAGCGACATTTTACCTGGCGACTCAGGTTGCCAGTCCAACTGCGGTATCTCGCTATCAGGGTTCTCGTTTTTCCTCTCCTCGTTGGGACCAACTTGTTTGCCTGACTAGCGTTTTATTTCCAATTGCGACGGATCAGCTTTTGAACAATTTGTCCAACTAGTCATATAGTATGATTAAAAGGATTTAAGAAAATACAATATACGAGATAAGACAAAAATATAATATAATGACAAAAAATATATATATGTAAGTAAGATACACAATAAGGATTTTGTGTTACATGGTCTTGTGTTACCTTTCTCTATTTTTTTTTTTTTTCTCTAGCAGCGGTGCCAGCCTCCCACTCGCCCCGCCGCCTCGAACATTGCCTTTTGCTTTTGCTCCTGCTCCCGCCTTATCTTTCTAATCTTGTTCAATATCTCTTGGTCCTGTTTGATTTTTTTGATATTGTTATTTGCCATTTCCTGGTCTCGCCCCTTTCCTTGTTGTCGTTGAAGGGAGAAGGCTTTGGGGATTTCCGGGTTAGGAGACTGTGGGTCCTCTCCGCGGTTGCACTTTTTGTTCCATTTAGATCTGTTTTTTTCTGCTTGGATCTGTAGCGCTGTATTTGTTGCCAAAGCCATCGCCTCTTCTATAATCCCTCTCAGGTCGGGGTCCAACCCCCCGGCAGGGGCAAGATGAGCACATCTGGAGACAATGCCTTGGGGGCGTCTTGACGTTTTCTTATGATGTGCCGCACAGCGGCGGGCTCTATCACAAGTTGTATTTCTTCCCCCCCTTGGGAAAGGTTGAGGGCTTTCATATTAATTTCCTCCAGTTGCCAGAGTTTGGTGGCCATTGTATTGTCTGTCAAATATAAGAGAGAAAAAAGGTTAAGTGATTAGAAATGCGTAAATGCTGGGTTCTCTCTTCCTCCTCCTTGGAAAAGCAAGTTCCATTCACGATGACTTTCAAATATACGTGTGGAGTTCCGTTTGAGGAGGGAAACCTCGTTCATTTCCGAATGGATGCTTTAGACTTCCGTGTCTAGCCCCACGGTTTCTCTCAGGGAAAACGGTCATTACCCCGGTTAAAACGTGGTTTTCGAGCATCCGTTCTAACATTTTTATATTTAAAGTCTTGCAATCTCTCATTACAAAAAGGAAAAGAAAATTTTCTTGAGTCTTGGTTCTCTAACTAAAAGATTAATACAAAATGCTTTAGGAGGTTTAATTTTCTCGCGCCGTTTTATAATCGTCTCATTTGCAAGGGAATTGTTTCAAATCCGACGGGAAGTGCTACGGATTCTTCCCGTTTAGATATGGTTGTTGGCTTCCGCTCATCTTCTCTCTCCTCAGGAATGTTGGAAAGCGGTGTAGCCTTCACAGTAATCGGTAACCGTTCGGTCATCTCCGTTATGTCGGGTTCTATTCATTCTTCTCTTTTGAAAGATGGATAAAGGCTCGTTGATCTTTGTCTTCCCAGGCAGCGTAACTGCCTGCGACATCTCCAAACCATCAGAAGTGTCACTATTATGATAACAGGAGCTATAAGACTTAAATTCCACATAGAAAAAGGGTGATTTAACACGTCTGGTGTCGATGGAAAAATATCCGTTTTTACTGATTTGATCTCTTGATCTATCTCTAGTAACATTCGTTTGGAAAATTCTATTGGCCAGTCATATTCTCTGGGCTGGAGAACGTCTGGAGTGATATTTCCTTGGATATTCCTGCAGAATTTTCACTTCTGTAAGATTGAGGACGTCCGATATTGTGGGTTTGGTTTCAAAGCGCAACTTTAAAGGAAGTTTATGATTGGAAATGTGTTCTGAGTCGCATGCCGGGCACATGGCCGGTGGAAGTCATTGGCAATTTTAAGATTTCCGTGTTGTTCAACTTAATCATTTTGACTGGTGAATGTTGTAGGTTTCTTTCTACATTGCATTTGATAATCAAATTTAAAGGTGATGGAGTGGAATATATTCAAGTTCCTTCCTTGTCGATGCGTTGGAACATTGGGTTTGGATTGATTGACACTTTTCCATTATGTAGTTTGTTTACTGTTGGCTCATCCGCTATGAATAAAGCATATTCACATTATTGATACGAAAGTCTCCAAACGGCGACCTCCGGCGCACAGATCGTAACGCAGATTGTTCTATTATTTGAAAGATTTATTGTTAAATATTTTGACTAAAGGTTTTAAACGTCGTTATCTTTGCAACTTCGAAAACTTAACCTTTGTGTAAGTGGCTGTAATTAGGACTTTTTGGTTATGAAGATAATTCATAGAATTCAAGCATTTGATTGATTTTTGTTGCAGTTTCAGTTGTATGAAATAAGATTAACCAAAATAACTTATTGAATAATGAAAAATGGATCATCAAATTTATAGGTATGTTCGAAGAAGATGGCAGAAGATCTGATTTCTGAAAAAGATATACAAGCAGAATGGTTTTTATTAAGGATAGGGAATTTTGAAAAATGTGTTCTGATACCTTTAGACAAAAATGAAATAATTGTTGGAAGAAGTAGCAACAGACATCTCAAAGATAGTCCAGGAATATCTCGTAGACATGTTCGCGTTGAGAGGACTTCCAATGGCAGATGGATCATTCAAGATCTTCAAAGTACAAATGGAGTCTTTGTCAATAACGTCAAGATTGATTCTGGATGTTCGTATAACATTCAAGAATCTGATATAATTGGGTTAGGAATAACATCTGCCACTTCAGAAGGACATTTTTTATTCAAATTATGTCGAAAACGGAACAATTTTGAGATTTTATCTCAAAATGTTAATGTGGAACCAAATATAACAGGTAAATTGAAAACATCTCCCAGTCAGGATGGTTCAGAAAAATTTCATTCTTTGAGTAATCCTGTTACAAAAGAACAGAACTGTGAAGAGATAAGTAGCAATTCAATTACAGACTGTAGTATATTGGATAAAACTGTTCAAGTCAAAGAATGTATAGTAAAGTTAAAACGATGTGATGATGATATTCTGAGGTTACAAAGATCAAAAACCGAAATACACAACAAATCACCATTATCGAATAGTGATCAAGTGAAATTGTCCAAACCTTCAATTGAAAAGAAGAGAAGAAAGGAAACCAATGACGTGATATCGAATTGTGACCATAGTGAAGAATTTGATAATTTAAATTTAAAAAACATAAAGAAAGAATTACCTGACGAATCATCATCATCAGAAAGTGATGACCATGACGATTTTAAAATTTGTAATTTAAAGAAAAAGAAAGAGATTCTTGGTGAATTAGATTGCTAGTAACATGTAAAGTTGTGAATTTCTTGATAAGGCGATGTACAGATATTCAGTCTGGTAATGAGCAAATGTTTTCGAAATGGGGAAATATGCAGGGAAAGCCACTACTTCATATAAGTCAAAATATCCTTCGGGAGTGATTAATGGAAACTTTGCGAAAATTCTCAGTGTTAACGGAAGTGCCACTGCATCCACTGTTATCCGCTGATAGTATTTAAAGACATCTTCATTTAGAGTCTTGATCAGCGAAATTTTGCTGGGTAAATGTTTGTTTACTTCTGTTAGCGCTTCTAGCAACTGTGACCTTGGCAGGAAGTATGAGCTAAGTCAGTCGGTTTCTAACATCTCCACTGCCTGTCTTAAATTCGTGACGCCGATTCTCAATTCTGTAACGGCGTTTTCCACATATCTAAGTGCTGTACTTATGACGAACGTATAAACGACGAATGAATAACTGATAAACTCCACCATACCTTTAAAATGCAGTCTATTTTAAACAGTTATCGAACGTTTTCGGTCAGACGTCGATGCTGAAGAAGGTCTGTAAGGGCTGTTTCACACTATGACCGACTGGACAGACCGGTCCAACTCCAAGTCGTGTTATTATGGCAACAGCAGTTTGCCAACCGACTAGTCGTTCCAGTCGGACAGATATGAAAAGTTAAATATTTATAGTCCGGTGGGAGCAGTCGGTGAGCTACAGCCAATGAGAGCTTTGAAGCTATAACCAATCAGAGTTTAGATTTATCCAATCTACGTCGAAATTAGAAAATGGAGGAAAGTATGGATTTCTCGGAGTGTTTAATAAACAAAGTCAGAACATATCCGTGGCTTTACAATATTCGGCGAGCCGATTATAAAGATAACATTAAAAAAAATAATTCTTGGAGGGAGATTTTCAAGAAACTAAACGTTGAAGGTACGTGATCTAATAATGACATGATATATCTAATAAGTTATGACATTGTAAATGTAAAATATTTTACATTTACAATGTCATATTTTTTAGAATCACTAGTGAAGAAAAGGTGGCAGAATATCTGCGACCAATATAGACGAAAAAGTAAAGAGGAGAATCTTCCTAGTGGTTCTGGAGGTCGCAAGAGACAACAGTGGGCATATTTTAATATGCTCTCGTTTCTGCGAACAGGCATTGAACAAATAAAGTAAGTTATCTTATTCTATAAATGATAAATTGTAATTTCAGGTGGATGTAACAAAAAGAAAAGAAAAAAAATGATTGGGAGAAGGAATTATTCGACCTACTTAAAACTACAAATACTCCCATAGTGGAAACTAAACATGATAGTGATTATTATTATTTCATGTCACTGTCAGAACGTTTCCGCGAAATAAAATGTAAAAAAAAAAAATAATTTATGGAAAAAAAATTGAAGAAGCCTTTAAGAAGCAGAGGAATCGGAATAAAAAAGTTTATTTTTATATGTAAATAAAATTTTATTTTTACAGTTTTTTACTAGACTAATTTATTTAGACAATTCTGGAGTTGATCCTCTTGTCACAACTTCATTCTGCCAAGGAAGTCGACCTTGTTCGCTCATAAAAAAGTCTTGAAATAATTCGCGAACTTTCTTTGCATCACTACCACTATTTTTAAAATAGCACGTAGTAATGTCTGTCATTGCTTCGTTTGTTTCTGTTTCATAACGCCACTGACCAGGTTTTATTTCACCATTAAATCCTTCTGAATCCACATAATTACTGGTGCAATAAGCACTTTCCTGGGACAGACATCTTATGTCACACGTCCTGAGGTAATTATGTAGGCATACTGTTGCCTGTACAAATTTTACAACATTTTCAGGATTAGCATTAATAATAATTTTATATATGCGCCACCTGGCTGCTAATATCCCAAATGTATTTTCAATTATGCGTCTTGCACGAGACAAGCGATAATTGAAGACTTGCCCGTTCAAGAGGTAGATTCTTACCACGGTAAGGATGTAATAAATTTGGAAGGAGAGGAAAGGCCTCATCCCCCACAAAACAATATGGAACTTCAATATTTGATCCTGCCAATTTCTCATCTTTTACTTATACTTAGTATAAAGGGGATGAAAATCCAGGCTTACTCAAAGGTATTACCTGGATGAGAAGTGGAAGGAGAAAGCACTAGGGAAGGTGGAGGGGAAAATTAAAGGAGGAAAGGAAAGATGGTGAAGATGGGAGACCCAGAAGTGCCCTGTATCGAGGTATTCATTAAATAATAAACAAATAATTACAAAAAAAAAGAGAAATACAGAAAGCGTAGAAGCTGCTACACTTAATCAATAAGTACACTAATTACATGACGATTTACATGCTGAAATAGATAGAGGCCGCAACAATACATACAGTGAAAAGTAACTTATAATAATATAATATGCCTTGTTACAAAGGTAAAGACCATGAAACAATGTTGAGACCCTAAAGTACAATACCTTATAATATATGAGAATACTGATGAGTAATTAGTGTAACAATCAGAGCCCGACAGTGTTAATACCTTATAAACCCAAACAAATAAACGCTAAGTAAATTACCTAACAACAGTAGAAGATACCTTACTGCAACAAATGACATCACAGCGCACTCCTGCCCCAGTGATGACAATGAAGACCAGGTGCAATATGTTGGCAACGTCGGTGTCGGGACTTAATCTTGTCTAAGGAGAAAGGAGTCCACTATGTGCCATTGATAATGCAGCAGCTGAACAATGCAGAAACTAAGGTCCTATGGAGAATAAGATCCGTTGCTGACAAATGTTGATTCCAGAGCTTTTGTTTTTATTAAGAAGTTATTTAGTCCTTCAAATATGTCTCTGTCTTCGACGAATACTGACAACTTGCAGGGCCAATTGAATCCTTTATTGAGGACAATGCCCTCTAGATTTATTCTGTAGTTTTTGTATTTGCTGCATTCAAAGATTAAATGTTTGGCATTCTGGATGGATGTATTGTTGCAATCACAAAATGGATGAGTCCGAATGCCAAACCTGTTTAAATACTGTGAGAAGTTACCATGATCAGTTAGTAACTGCGTAATGTGGAAATTAGTGTGGAAAAATTTGTTATGGAGCCTTCCAGGGATATTGGGAAGGAACTGGAAGGTCTTCCTTCCTTCTGGTTGCCCCATCCTCCCATTCGCGTTGCCAAAGTTGCACTGCTGTTTGATGTATTACATTATTGATTATTTTCTTAGGGGCTTCCCAATAAGTTGGGGTAGCAGAGGATGCAGCAGCTTGCTTGGCCATTTGATCTACGATGTTATTCCCTTCTATTCCAGAATGCCCTTTCACCCAAGTAAAGGCTACTTTATTATGACAGCTTAACAGTTCCTGCCGGGTGAGATTAGCTAGAATATCATTTCCATTTTTTAGTCTGTGAATGGCCACTTGACTATCAGAGAAAATTCTTATGTTTTTGTTTCTAATCTTGGTACTGTTGATATATTTCAGGGCTTGAAAGATTGCGTACTGCTCTGCTTGCGTAATAGTACATATGCTTAAAGCTTGCTTTAAAATTAGTGATATTCTGGTGGTCCATAATAGCAAAAGCCGCTCCTGTCCAGCAGTCACTTTTGGAGCCGTCGGTGTACACATTAAAATTCAAGGTTATACTGTCATTGAAGTCTATCAGTGAAATGTCACCTGCCGTACTGGGATAAACATCAAGAAATTTGACTTTACTACTCATGGTCGTAACAAAGTGTTTTAAGTTGTACTCATTTAGGTTAGGAAATAACCCGATTTGTAAATATTTATATAGATCGCTGTCTGGATTATCTATGGTGCCCCCATTGTTAAGATTCCACTTCCACATCTCCTCTTTTGCTCTTATATAAAGTGGTAGAACCCCGGAGATGACCTGCAATGCTTCTGTAGGTGCAGTTCTATAGGATCTACACTTTCTAATCAGGGAAAATCTTTGAGCCTTATTAAGCTTCTTCCTTGCTCTAACATTATCCACTGCTTCCGCCCAAAATGGAGCTCCATATAGAATAATCGTCTCTATACATGCCTTGTATATAATTTTTATTGCTTTTTCTCCTAACCCCCATTTCCTGCTGCATATGCTTTGTAGTGCATGAGAGATCCTTATTGCCTTGTCTGAGATCTTACTCTGATGCGTAGCCCATTTCATATTTTGGTCAAAGTTAATGTTTAAATATTTCAAGCTGTTGGTATTTTTTTATCTTTTGTTTATTGATAAGAATTTTCAGGGGTTTTTTAAGTTGGGTACCTTTGGTTAATACCATTGCATCACACTTACTGTAGTTGATTTGTAATTTATTTGTTATGTACCAATTGCTCACTTTTTCCAGAATATCATTAGCGTCCTTTTGTAATGTTTTGTTGTTTTTATTTGATACCATTATTAGAGTATCATCTGCGTACCCCTGTATTTTAAAATTACTTGGATGTTCGTCTTCCTCATTTATTTTCAAGAGCCCATCATACGCGATGTTCCACAAGCCAGGGCCCGAACGGGACCCCTGGGGGCAGCCTTTAGATAGGTTCCTGATAATATTTTCTCCAAAATCAAAAGTGCCAGCTGTTCTGTTATCTAAGTAGTTTAGAAGAATGTTATATAAGTTCTTAGGGCATTTAAATAACTGGAGTTGCTTCATTAATGCTGGCCACCATAGGGTATTAAAGGCATTTTTAAAATCTATAGATATAAGTAAACAATGCTCGTTCCTTCTCCATGATTCATTTATATATTTATTAACTTGACCAATTGCATGGTATGTTGATTTACCTTTGATGAAGCCGTATTGCTTCTTATGAAGACTATTGTTGATGTTTAAATGGTGATTTATCCTATTAATAATCAAACCGTCTAGGACCTTCCCTGGAACCGAGAGAAGACTAATAGGTCTGAGTTGATCTGCCCTTGCTATGTATTGGATATCACCTTTAGGTATAAATTTGACATTTGCTGTCTTCCATTTTTTGGGAAAGGTCCCTGTTTGTAGGCATAAGTTATAGATATAGACCAAAGCAGTAGGCACAGCATTAAAAGCATGTTTTAGCATTTTTGGGGTGACCCCATCAAGCCCCGGTGACTTCTTATACTTTAAGGTCTTAATAGCCCTACTGATTTCACTGTAAGTGAATAATACATCATCAGGTGTGTTAGGTAATATCTTCATTGAACTCCGGATTTTCTTTTGTTCTTGGCTATCCAGCGATTCTTTATCATCCGGGAAATGAACATCCATGATGTATTCCATTGTTTCCTTGTATGTCTTGGTTTTTTCACCATTTTCTTTGATTATGTTTACTGGAATACTGATGTGAGTAGCAGGGGGTCACCGGGTCGAACCCTAATGACCGCTTAATCTGCACGGGTCGGGAAGACCCGCTCTCGGTTGTCGGATGGCTTGTTTTGTCGGATGACACCAATATGTGCAAACCGAGGGGATAGGATAAGAGTTTCTCCCACTTACCGGCGCGCTGTCAGAGAGTGGCTATAGGAGGGCAAAAGGAGTGGGAGGCGTAACGAAGTCATGATGAGATGTTGATAGTACTTATCAAGAGTCATTAAATTAGGAGTAACATATTTAATATAAACTTAAAAATAAAAACAAATATATTAAAATTACACTTTAATTCTAAACAATATGAAAGTGATAATCATAATAAATTCCGAGTCGCGACAATATCGAACTACCGATGTCCGTCTATTTCGTAAGTGAGATCATCAAAGGTCTTCGACACAAAATAATTCTAAGTCCTATCCAAAGGAACAGATAAATAAATTCAAAGTTCCGAGTATATCGACAGACAATATTTTCTAAGTCCCGAGTATACCGAGAGAGAGTGAAGTAAAAATAATCTAAGTATTTACCTCTATAGGTCGGCGATCAGAAACCTTGAAGTCCTTCCAGAGTAGACGCTTGTAGTCTTCTTTCTTCGTTGATCGCGTCCTCCGATGATCGCCTCGAGATCTTCGATCATTCCCCTTTTATACCTTTTTAGCGTGGGAAATCTCGGGGATTCTTCTGACGCAAACTGTCACTTCTCCCGATTTCTGACAGTCTCCCCCGTCATGGGTGACGACAATGCAGACATCGCTTGACCAATTAATGTTAAAGTCGTCACCACCTGGGGAGATGACTGACCATTTTTGGTAATGTTCTCACCGTAAGGGTGCCCTTGTAGGTGACCTCTTGATCTACTCTCCATACAGGAACACCCATCCGTCTCCGTCCACCAGACACTTGCAGGATACTACTCTATTACAAGGTGTCTGCGGTGTGACCAATTAGCAAAACAAACAAATGTCCCGGGGAGAGGGGATTTCTTCCGCGGTCGCCTCGGACGACTTCGTCCTAGGGATGACCTTCTTGACGGACGAATTACGCAGTTCACTATCTGGGGTCTATTCCTCGGACATTAGGGTGAGAATGGGAGAAACAACGAAAATGATGATGAAAGAAATATAACTTGTTACGTATTTAATAAAAATTCTCTTAAAAGAGTTGGATTTTCACATGACTCCCCACTTTTCTAAAAATCGCACACCCTTGGTGTGATTTTTCTTTCTTCTGTTGGGAGAGATGAAGTTGACTATAGATATGATGGAGATCTTCATGTTGATCGACGAGTTATATTTTTGAAGTTCTCAAAGAGATATATTCTTGGTATTTTCTATCTTCGTTCCATTATGCACCATTAAAATTCCCTTTTGTCTTTCTATGCCTGTGCTCGACGTCAATTTATAAGTCAAAACTCGAAAGGCAAAACTCCAGATTTGAAACTTCATAAATCTCTGTTCGCCCTACCAGGGGGGAAATTTCGCATCTCCGTTATATGGAGAAATTCTGTGTGTATAAACAGAGGGAGAGAAAAAAAATTTTTAGAGGTAATACGCGAAAAATCTCTCTCTCTCTCGATCTACCTCAAACTTAAACCCTTTTATAGGCACTAAAAAAACTTACAAAAAAAAAACAACAAAATTAATATTACGCGAAGAAAAGAAAAAAAAATATAATAATAATAATACTACGATATCAAAAAAAAATTTATAAAGGATACAAAAGATGGTCGACTTACGCGTACAAATTTTTAAATGATAAAGTCAACTTACATGTTAAATGTAAAAACTAACTAAAATGTTAATAAACAGTTGGCTATTCACACCCTAGTCAGAGTGCATGATAAAAGAGATTGTTCTGCCGGTACCTTTTCACCTTTTCTAATGTCCTGGTATGATGTCACAATCATCAAATAAAGAAATGATCTTCATTCGTTGTACGTGATAAAGAGCGTCGAGTCCGATAGAGGGTATCGGCGACGTCCGAAGAACATTTTCAAATATTGATAGTTACAAAATGTGCAATCCCGTCGATCCATGGACGAGAGCTACGATCAGGTTCGAGATAGAACCTGTCGTCGTCACTATTAAAGTGTCCAAATCCATCCTTCGACAGCAAGTACTCTTAGTTTGGAACATTTGACCTTTTAATAAACAAGGAATGACGTAGGCTCGCCACTTCAAAACTCCACTTTCGGCTAGAAAGGGTGGATGGCTTAAATAGAGCCTGTCGTCGGAGAAATGCAAAAAAATTTCGTTCAAAAGGATCAAAGGAAGACATAAATCAAAAGATTTTATTTTAGGCAGTCCTGAAGCTTCAGTAGCTGAAAAATTGTCTTTTTGGCAAAATAAATGGAGAGAGATTTTCTCTAGGTCTTAGACTTTGACCAATAGAAAAAAAAAAAAACCTCCTCAACATTTGGATCTTCGTAGCTGTTCATTTTGCTGCACAGAATCAATTCCTTTTCAATGAATAAAGAAAAGATAACAGACAGCTGATTCAAAGGTCTCTGGTCCAAAATTTTTCTCTATGAAGGGTAATTTTTGATCTGTGACAGAAAACTTCTGCTTAATTTTCGTTCTCAACCAATATCGCTCTTCTTTAGAACGACACCAATTAAGCACGGATATCAGCAAATCAGGAAGGATCCTTTAAAAATCAAAGAATTTTGCCCCATTTTAAATTTTGGTTCGCACAGCACTTGATAAAATGATAAAAATAAAAATTTTCTTTCCGTGGATCCTAATAATCAAAAAAAAAGTTTATCCGGTACAGCCTCCGTGAGACGAAGCAAAATGCTCGTTACATCCCACAAAAGCTGTACCAATAAGTTGGCGCCCAAAAAAAAAGTTTCTTCGAATACCCACCGATATAACTGCCATCTAGGTACTCAATTTGGTGAAAGGATGTTTGTTATCCAGAGCGAATCATGGCAAAAAAAAAAATTTCGGAAAAGGATTCATACAGTGTAACTTTCTCAAAGAAAAGAGAAAATTCCCAGAAAAGTTTTGATAAGATAAGAGAATCCTTTCCTTCAAATCAAACCTTTCACTTACACACAGTGCCACGAAAATATTTCTATAGGCTTAAGATGGCAGCTGGAAGTATCATAGACTTTCGTCATCAGGCTAGAGGCTCTAAACTTCAAATAGATACTGCTCAAGACGGAGCAATAGCCTCTGTAAAATATGGTCAGACGAGTCTGAATAATAAGCTAGGCACACGTGAGAATTACGAGAAAGGTCTCGTCTCTCAAACATAGTGTGTAATATACAGATTTCCAACAAAAAAAAATATTAGCTCCCTTCGAACAAAAGTTGAAAGAGTTTTTCCCAATGGAAGTCAAATCAAATTTCCCTATGGCTTCTAGACCTTGGATGTTGAGTAAGAAAATAGATGAGCAAAAGATTACCTATCCAAACTTCTGCCAACAGTGACCAAACGAAAGTTTACTGGGATACTGGTTGGTACTGTACATCAATTTAAACAACCATTGACCCTTGACAACTTGTCAGTCAGGTAACTCCCTTACAAAATAAAATTTCAATCGCGATTTGACATCGCAAGTGGCCTGGTGAGAGTTGATTGTAAAAATGCTAATCATGAACCTTCCTCCACCCCCAGGGAAACTCCACTACAAGACGAATGGGTATTAAAACATATGTACTGTTCCCTTCCTTCCTATTATTTTTGAAGGAAAGATAAAAGGATACATGAGATTCCTATTCCTTGTTTGAAAGGTATCGTTAATAAAGGTTCAAATTGCTGCACTTGAACCGCAACATAGCAGTTTACATGACATAAACCAGTTAAATTTTGTTACATTCCCATAAAAAGTTGAATAAAAATAAACAAATGAATTCGTATTCTGAAATGCTTCCAATAATAATACCAAAGTCAGTAATAATGATGACAATGATTTGTAATGAAGATTATCATCTCTCTTTCAAATGTAGAGACTAGAATTAACTCACCATTTTTATCATCAAAAGAAAACTATCTCTTCCTTGAACTGTCAATCTGTTGATAGCAAGTCAACAGCCCAAAAAAAAAATATATATATATATCTCACCTTTTAGTTAAGGTGTGCCGTACCGTGATTCCTTGTGTTTATTTTGTTTTCCGATTCGGGAAGGGTTCTTATTCCGAGGAGAGGTACGTGGAGTTAAGACAGGAGGAGAACCGGTCCGACGGGGAGGAGTGTGCCTGCCGCCGGTACTAGGCGTCTCATCCTTAGCATTGTTACCTCTCCAATAACTACACTTAGCGCATATCCTAACGGAATATAAAGTTGACCCCTTGCAAGCTTACGAAAGTTATTATTTGTTCAAAAAAAAATTGATCATACATTCTCGTATGGAAATATTCAATTATTATTTTATTAAAATACAAAGAGATATATTATATTAATTGAACGAGTTTCGATGACGGTCAAATCGTTGCCTCTTTGGTCTTATGTCTTCTTCCGAATCTGTTTCTTGTTCCGAAATCGAGGTAGACGGAGAAAGGGGGGAGATTGTATTTCTTCTGCCTCCCTTTTTATGTCATTTGTTCCTTCGATGGTCCCGTATAGTTCAGGCGCTATCGCCGTGTATTCTCCTGGCGCCTTTTCACCCTTTTTACCTTCCTCTCTTCTTCGACTTATCTTTTCTACCCATCTTTGTTGCCATTTGAACCTTCTTTCCGTCTCTGGGTCTATTAATCCTGAAAGGGGGAGTATTGCCATTGTGAGGGGTGCTTTCCAGTTTTCCTTTTGACTTTGGGATATGCTTTCTACCATTTGGGCAAAAGCTTTTTCGATGGCTTCCTGATCTACCCTCTGGCCGAATTCAAATGGCGCCAATAAGTCCTCCACCTCTTCCATTTTCTAAAAAATAGAAAATCCCCTTGTTTTGCTTAATATAGGGTAATATATAAAAATAAATAAAATAGCATTATCATATTCAAATATATATATTAAAATAATAATGATAATAATAATATGCGCAGAGGTTTTTATTATTTATGTGCGGAAAGGACGGCTGCGTTGCCGTTTTTCTGGCTTACTGCTAGAAGGAAGAGGTTTTGTATCCGCATTTTCTATCTCCGGATTATTTTTGAGGTTTATCATTTCTTCATTTTCTTTTAATGAAGTTTCTACCATAGTGGGCTCCTCTTGTCGATTTTTACTTATACGGAGCACACCTTTCGTTTCTTTAAGTAATAACACATCGTAGAAATAACACATATGCTCAAGGTTGCTGTACTGATACATCCAACGATAATGACGCTAGGGAAATAGGAATCCTTAGAAGAGGAGTGACCCCCTTCAGGTTTAATTTTCATTGTATGGAGCAACTGATTTAGCGTTAAGGTCATATCCTTATTAGCTCTATCTGCTATTTGCACATCGAGATCAAAATTTTCTTTAAGCCTTTGTTGAAAATGTGGTTTTGACATATGTTCTTGAAGAATGCTTATTTCTGTTTGATTTAGTATTTGTTCTATTGGTGGCACTACCAAATTGTGAGCAACTTCAGTACGAATGGTGGATCGCATATGAAAATGAGAGGTGAGAATTATTTCAGGCAGATACCCCACACATGCATTAGGTAACGATATTATTCCTGTGTTGTTTAATTTGCTTATGGATGAAGGAGATGAAACTGGGTTTTGTTGGGTTGAAGAACATTTAATAGCTAGAATTAAAGGAGTAGGGGTGGAATATATCCACTTTCCTTGTTCACCTATTCTTCTGAATATAGGGGCATATTTTAACGTTATTATTCTGTTACATAATTCCTTAACTTGGATTTCATTTCCAATAACCCCTCGATGTGGGTTCCTGTCCGTGGTGAGGGGACCTCCCAGAGATGGTTTAGATACTCTTCTTCACCATCCCTGGGATCTGAACGCCCACCCACGTGTTTGCTGTGCGTGGTGTCCCGTATGCCGGAAAGGGGGATCCTGGTAGTTGAGGGGCAACATAACTTCCCCAACACACTGCTTTGGCCCCTGCTTCGGATAAACGGGAGGCTCAAATCAGGCTCCGTTTGAGTCAATCGGCTGGTCGTTGAGTCATTCTTGACCTCGGCTTGGAGTCAACTGATCAATGCAGACCGGGTGGACACGTCAGACAAGATGTGCTCTTCTTGACTGCATTGTGAGGGTATAGCTCCTGGGAAACCCTGGTGTGACGGTCTATGGGA